CCGTGGTTCACTCCAGCCCTCACCTCCTCAGCCTTTCTTGCGACACCAGTGATCCCTCCTTACCCGTTGATGCTCCCTATTCAGCTTGGTGCCTTAACACACTTTCTCCTGATGTCCATCCTGCCTCCTGCTTCCTCTTCTCCGGGTCTTTCCCAGGACGCCTCTGAAAATGTCAGCGTTCCAGGAGTCCCTGGCCATTCTCACCCCAGTGCTCTCTGGGCTCCCACATCTGCTGCTGGGGGCTCAGCCAGCCCTGGGCCCTGAGCTTTCGCCAGCCTGCATCTCCCCCCTCAGGCCCAGGGGTCCAGCTTCCCACACAGAGGTCCCCTTAGCTGTTCACTAGCACATCATACTCAATACAGCAAACCACGCTGCTGCTCACCCATTCTCCGTGTCGGGGCCAGTTCCAGGCATGGAAGAGCACGCCCCTCCCTCAGGGACACCCACATGGCCAGGCTCCTGGCCTTCTCATCCCTCCAGCGCAGAATGGCAGGTCCACCCATGGGGCTCCCAGACAATGTCCAGGTCTCGCCACTGCAGCCTCGGGTCCGTGCCCCTGCTTAGGGCCTTCATTCAGTCTTATCCCATCACCTGCACTGCCCAGCCTTGCCCAGCCTCTTCCCTGGGGCTCACGGGCAGCCATCCTCCATGTCTGCTGTGAGCATGCCAGCCAGCCCTCAGTGTCACGCACAGCCACCTCTTCACTCAGCCTTGCACCCCCAGAGATCAACTTAGCGGCTAACCCAGTGTCTGGGTGCGTTTGCAGCAGCAGCAGCGGCAGGCTGTCCAGGCCAGTTTAACAAAGCCCCTGGCGCCGCAGGCTGGGGCTGCCTGGGATGAAGGGTTGCTGTCAGGGCCCTCACACATTCACAGCGTCACGTGTGTGCTCGGGCAGGGACCTGTGTGCCCAACCCCTTAGCAGCAGGCACAGACACAAATACACAGGGACACCCGCCTGGGGACCCCACATCTCCCCAGTGCACACAGATGCCTCAGAAGCTGCAAGTCGCTCCTACCCCAGGGTCCTGGCTGAGACCAGGCTGGGATGGCCACAGGCTGGTGACAGACAAAATATGCAGTCCCCGGAGTCATCTCACTGGCATTTTATCCAGCCCTCTCATCATGCTTCCCTCTGCACCATGCTGCGTGCACACCTCCAGGGACGCGGGCTCGCTCTGCTGGGCAGCAGTCCCCCGCTCCACAGGTTCCCCACCTCTGCCCTGTCTCTTCTGCCCCCCGGGCCCTCATCCCTGAAAATGGGATGCTCCTCGCCTAGCCTTCTCTGGGCTCCACACCTCCATTCGTGCTGGGGTCTGTGTACCCACCCCCACGGTCATCGCAACACCATTTTTGGATGTGCTCCTGATGTGGCTCCTTATGGAGTCCCCGTGGCCGGAACGTTCCCTCTCACGGTTCCTCTCCCCCATCTCACCACGATTTCTGTCCACCTCGCCTCCTAAGCACGTGTGGTGCAGCAAGGTGACGCTGCTCTTCAGTCCCATCCTGCAGGTCTGAGACCACAGGACCCCACCTCCAGGCCAGCGGGTCATGGCATTGGGGGTCTCTCTGGGCCTCTTGCCCATGGGGTTTGCTTAAAGCTCTCATAGGCCATCCAGGACCTACACGCTCCCAACCCTGCCACCCACAGGCCTCCCTCTTCAACTTGGCCCTGCCCTCGGGTCCAATCTCCTCCCCCAGCCCCACCTTGGACACTCACTTCCACCACCACCACTGACCTGCCAGGTACAAAGAGGTGCTCAGTGGTGTCTAAAGGAAGAAATCTATTCAGGATATGAACCATTTGGGCCTTCCCCATGTGGGGAAGGGCTTACACATAGCCATGGTGGACACCCTGGGGGTTGGCCTGTGGCTGGGAAGCCTCCGTTCATCTGTTCTGACTGCCTGGACTGTGGTGAGGTGTGTAAAGGGTTTGGCATGCAGCGGTCACCTAGGAGATGGAGCAGGTGGGGGTGAAGCCGACTGCCCCTGCCCCTGCTCCTGCCCTGGCCTGGCCTGGGTTTGGCCAGCTGGTCAGCAGGATTCACAGTAAAGGGCGAGTCCACCTGGAAGGCACAGGGGCCCTGCTGGTATTGCAAAGCCTGGGGCCTTTGGGCATTTCTGAGACCACAGTGCCCCCTGGTGGCCATGCAGTCCTTCCAAAGGAGAGCACCGTGTGCCTCAGGGCTTGGGCCTCCCTCTCTGGGGGGGTTTGTTGTCACCATTTTACAGATGAGGCCCAGACCAGGTGGCTCAGCTGCCCAGAGTCACACAGCCAACCAGAAGTAGGGCCAGAACTCAAACTTGGGTCTGCCTGGCTTCCAAGCCACCACTGTCCGCCCTGCCAGTGGCTGCTGAAGGCTCCCACGGGGCCTGGGCTGGGAGAACACCCCCACATCTCCCACCTTCCAAAAGGGCAGGGACGTGGATTTCCCTGGTGGGAAAGACACTGTACACTTGGATGGAGGAGAAAGGGACAGGGGACTCCTGGGTCCCCCCAACCCCCATCCCCACCACTGTGCTGGAGCCTGTTGGGTGAAGGGCTACTGTTGTCAGCTCCAGAGGTGGGGCCCCTCACTCCCCCAGCCCTTACTTGGTCTGAGTGAGGCCTGCCCACCCCACACTGCACCTCAGTACCTTTCTCCACCACTGCTACCCCCGAGGCCTCTTCTGGTCACTGACCCAGGGCAGCAGCCCTGGAAGAAACTTGGGGCTCCTTGTGTTCAGCCTCCGTGCCCTGCTTGACAGGCAGGGGGTGGCCAGGCTCACCCAGCTGGTCATGGCAGAGCCGGGGTGGACCGGGTTTCCCAAGTCATGGACCTGGACTCCTTCCCTTACCCGGGGGTTTCATGAGCACAGAGAGTTCTTGGGCCAGGAGTGCCCCTGGCCCTGCTGGCTGCTCCGATGGCAGTCCTTCAGGCAGGAGAAGGTGGGGAGGGAGCAGCCAGCACCCGGCTGTGGCCCCCAGGAAGTCCTGCTTATGGCCTGGTGGTTGGAGCGGCAGGGAGGGGACAGGCACCCCGGGTCCCACCAGGCTCCCTCTGATGGCCGTGTCTTCCTTTGGCTACAGGGCGCTGTGCAGAGCTGCAGGTCCACGTCACCGAGGCCATGGCCATGGTGACTGAGCAGAGGGAGCTGATTGCCCGCCTGGAGCAGGATCTCAGCACCATCCAGTCCATCCAGCGGCCAGATGCCGAGGTGAGCCCCCTCTACTCCCTCCCCCCTCACCACCCACTAAGGGCTCTCTCTCTGGGTTTTGCCTGCTCACTTCACCTGGAGGCCCAATTCGGACAGAGGCAGGCCTCCTCCAACTGGCACAAGCACCCTTCAGGCACTGGCGTGGACCTCTGCCCTGGGAGCTCTGGGCAGGAGCAAGGCCAGGATTTACCCACCCATCTCACAAGAGGACTGAGGCCCAAAGATCATGGGAGGCTGGAGCCCAAGGGCCCTTGGAGGTCATCACATGACCCCCTCATTTTATAAATGAAGAAATGGGGCTCAGGAGAAGCCCGGCTGGCCCAGGGCACACAGCAGACTGGCTGGTAGGACCAGGGACGCCAGCCACTGTTGGCCATGAGGGCTGAGTGGCCAGGTGAGAGCCCTGCCCTGCTCCAGCTTCTGGGGTAAGCTCGGGGGCCCTGCCTTCTTTTTCATGGCCCATGAGAGGTGGCCTCTCCCGGCCCTCCTGTGGCCACTGTGTACCTGCCCCTGCCGCCAGTCCACCCCACTGCTCCTTGCCCCCCATTTGCTTGGCACTTGAAAGACTGTTCAATGCCGCATGTGAAGGTACCTCCCCACCTCTCCTCTCACCTGCAGGGTGCAGCCGAGCACGGCCTGGAGAAGATCCCAGAGCCCATCAAGGAGGCCACCGCCCTGTTCTATGGTGAGGAGGGGCCGACCTGACCCCCCAGGGCAGCCATCGGCCAGTGGGGAGCAGGGAAGGGAGAAGAAGTGATGCGGCCAGAGCCCTGGTTCCAAAGAGCATGCCCCCTCCCCCAAAGAAAGTCAGGGCCCCCATCCCAACAATGCAGCAGCAACATTAAGGAGCGGTGAGCTCCCCACTTGCCCTTGTAGGCCTTCGTCTGACATGCCCCCTGGAGGTCTTGACCCCTGTGGCCCTGCCAGTGGCCTGTAGAGGGCTGGTGGGTGGTGGTCAGCTCCCAGGGAGGCCTTGGCGTGGAAATGCAGCCAGAGAGCTCCCAGCGCTGATGGAGAGGTGGCCTCCTCCAGTGTGGAGGCCAGAACCTGTGAGGGGATACTCCTGGCTTCCGGCGAGATCAGTGGTCCTTCGCTTCCCCTGGAGCCGGAGTCTGACAGATGCAGGGGTCTTGGATCCAAGTACAGAGTAATGGGGTGGGGCCTGGCCTTCAGACTGTGGCAGGGACCCCCCTCCCAGGGCCCCTATCCTCATGTCATACCCCTCCCCGTCCCCCAGGCCACCCTTCCCCGACCTCTCATCACCTTGTGCGTAGACACCCTGTGCCTTCTACCCATGGCACTCGGCCAGAGCTCCCTCGCGGCTGCGACCACCCAACCTGAGGGCCCACTACTAGGCTCTGACTCCTTCCACCCCAAGCCACTCTCCCCTACTTCCTAGGACCCACGGCACCAGCCAGCGGCACCCTCCCCGAGGGCCAGGTAGACTCACTGCTGTCCATCATCTCCAGCCAGAGGGAGCGTTTCCGGACCCGGAACCAGGAGCTGGAGGCTGTGAGTCACATGCTTCCCTCCCCTACACTCCTTGGACCTGAGGACACAGTGGGGGACACGCAGACTTGGGGGAGAAAGATGTGTCACAGACCCCAAATTGCAGAGGGATTAGATTTGCTCTGTGCAGTCAAGGAGGGCTTCCTAGAGGAGGCCGTGCCATGCTGGGCTTTGAAAGAGGAATCAGACACCCAAGGTAGAGGAGATTACGTCAGCAGAGACATGGGGACAATGTGCCAGAAGGGAGTGCAGGTCATCGCAGGGCTCCTGTGAGAGCACAGAGCTGCCCGGCGAGTGCCCCACAGCCAGGTGGGGGCACCAGCAGAGGATTTCAGCAGGGGAGCAAAGGCTGGAGGGTCAGAAGGATCGCTTGGGCAGCTAATTCAGGACAGAAGGCTGGGGAGTGGTCACCGTCATCCAAGAAGAAACTTGTAAATCAGGTGGGAGACTTGGAGAAGCAGGGGAGGCTGGAGAGAGGAGGGTCTTTGAGGTCGATAGAGATGCACGGTCGAGGGATGTCGAGGTGCTCTGTGAGGTCTGAGAGCCCACTGGCTGCTCAGCACCTGGCTGGTGGCCATGCTGGAGGAGCGCCATGAGGAAGGGCAGTCAGCACAGGTGACCGGTCCGTTGCCTCTGGGCCTTTGATGTGAGGTGCCTCCACGTGCGCACTGTTGACACGTGGATGCTGACGGTAGCGCCCGCAGGAGGGCTGTGGTCTTGGAAGAGTAGGGAGCAGGAGAGTGAGGACGGAGTAAAAGGTGCAGGAGCACGCTGTTTCTTTTAAAGCCTCCAGGATGTCCCCACAGAGGGAGTAGACACTGGATCCAGAGTGCAGAGGACGCAGTGTCAGACCAGGGGAGCACCCAGAGTGGCACCATCCTGGCTCTGGGGACTGCAGACCCCACCCCCCATCCCATAGAGCCAAGCCCCCCTGACCGCTCTCCAAGGAAGAAGATGAGCCAGGAAGGTTTCCATCCTTTTCAGAGAGCCACTTGATGCTGGAATGTCTGACCCTTCCTCTCCAAACCCACAGTTCCCCCGGTTTCCAGGCTCAGACCAGGGAGGGCAGACAGTCACTGAGCAGCCACTGCGGGCCAGGCCCAGTGCTGGTCCAGTGACAAGAGTGGGCCAGATCCAATGAGACCCTCTGTGATCCAGGCTCACGAGGCTTCAAAGGAAGGATGTCAGGGAGGCTCCCCTCACCGCTGCCTGCACGGGCAGTGGACTGGGGACACCCACATGCCCGTCAGGGGCTGGGACAGCCACACTGTGGAATGCTATGCAGCCCTCAAAAGAAGGCCTTCAAAGTAAATTACATGGGAGAGAAAATGTAAGGGTTAAGTATTCTACCTTTTGCTTTGAAAATCTAGACTTTTTATCATGTACTTTTTAAAACTTATGGTAAAACACACACAACAAAATTTACCATCTTAACCATTTTTAACTGTACAGTTCAGTGGCATTAAATACACTCACCACCTTCCATCTCTAGGACTCTACATCTTCCCAAACTGAAACTCTATACCCATTAAGCACTAACTCCCCATCCCCGCCCCCGCCAAGCCCCGTTCTACTCTCTTTCTGTGAATGACTTCCAAGCACCTCCTGTGAGCAGAATCATCCAGTGTTTGTTCTTTGTGACTGGCTTATTTCACTAAACATCATGTCCTCAAGCTTCCTCTGTGTTGTAGCACGTGCCAGAATTGTCTTCTTTTTTATGTCTGGATCCTATTCCTTTGTATGGATAGACCACATTTGTGTATCCATTCATCTGTTGATGAGCACTTGCGTCACCCATCTTTGGCGACTGTGAATAATGCTGCTAAGAGTGTGGTGTGCAAACAGCTCTCGAGTCTCTGCTTTCAATTCTTTGGGGTGTACCCCCAGAAGTGGAATTGCTGGGTCGTTTGGTAATTCTGTGTTTACTACCATGTCCTTTGTAGTGCTGTTTGAATTGTTAACAATGTGAAGAAAACACCTACTTAAGCATTTGAATAAAATTGAAAAATGAGGTCCCATTTCACCTTGCCCCTAGATTGGCAGACATTAAAATCACATAGTATAGGATTCCATTTACATGAAATGTCCAAATAGGCAAATCCATTGACACAGAAAGTAGATTAGTGGCTGTCAGGGGGATGGGGGGAAAGGGGATGGGGAGTGACTACGGACAGTTTATTGGGGTGATAAGATGCTCTGGAATTAGTGGGGATAGAATTGTGAAGATTTTTTTAAAAACTGAATTGTAAACTTTAAAAGGGTGATGTTTATGTTATATGAATTATGTCTCGATGATAGTTTTTAAAGGCTGGTAATACCATAAACAAATAAAACATGATGAAACCTGACCCATGAACTGTGACTTCTGCCTGAGGCGAGGTCACAGGAGGAAAGGGGGCACTTCCCAGAGCCCGAGGAGGGTCGGTCTTAGTAGGTCAAAGAAGAGGCTGCAGGTAGCGGAGCAGTAGCTGTGCCAGCCTGGAGGCCTCTCCCGCCACCCCTTCCCCCGCTGGCCCTGCTGCCCACCCCCCACCTGCCTGCCCACAGGAGCACCGCATGGCCCAGCACACCATCCAAGCCCTGCAGAGCGAGCTGGACAGCCTGCGCGCCGACAACATCAAGCTCTTCGAGAAAATCAAGTTCCTGCAGAACTACTCTGGCCGGGTAAGTGCCCTCCCCAGTTTCAACCCCAGGTGTAGCAGGCAGTGCGGGCACTCCGAGGCAGGAGGTGGGGGCAGTGGCCTGCTGGGCAGCACTGGGCTGCCTGGCCCCCTCTGCCTGCCAGCTGTCCTCCCTAAGCTGGGGAGAGCCCCCCACAGGCCCTAGTGGAGGCTCATGCATCAGATCCATCCAGGAGGTGGTGAGGTACAACAAGAGGCAGGGAACACAAACTTACATTTGTTTAAAGCCATACCAGAATTTGGCCCAACATCCCCCAAAAAACAATCCAGAGCCCAGAGCGCGCCCTGGCAAGTATTCTACGTGGTTATGGTGTCAGCCCGGCACCAAAAGGTCTGGTCAAGGGAACATACCTGGGTTGCAGGTTTGACGCCCAGCCTGGTTGGTATGTGTGCAGGAGGCATCTAATCGATGTGTGTGTGTGTCTCTCTCTCTCATTCTTTCTCTGTCCCCTCTCCTCCTGTCCTTCCACTTTCTCTAAAAATCAATGGAAAAAATATCCTCAGGTGAGGATTAACAAAAAGAGAGAAAGAACAGAGTGGAAACCTACTCACTTGGTTCTGGGCCCAGGGGGGCTGCTGCTGGACCACCTCGTGCGAGGAAACCCTTCTGTGACTGTGGAGAAGCAGAATGGGCGGTGACACTTATGATGGGG